ACGTCACTGAGGCTCAGTCTGGGATCCAAACACAATACTGATGCTTCATATCAGACATAACTGTCACCGATCTGCTACAGCTGGTATAAGAAAAAGCAAAAACAGTTTCTCAGTTGATGTTTTTTTTGTGCACCTTTGCACCAAATCCAAAGAAGGAAAACTGTGATTTCAGTCTTCGCTGTGTGTTCTGTAAAAACGTCAGTACAAGTAAACATCATGAGTGCAGGAAGGCTAGATAAAACTTTGAGCTTAAGCTGTTTTATTTACACCCGTCCTCTGCATCATTACTGCGTCTTTTTTAGACGAAGCTAAAAAATATTTGATCCTGATGTTATCAGCCTGTTGAATGACGGCTGTCAGTCTTATGAACACAGCCTCCTCCTTATGTAACCCATAGACTGTGCACAAAGATGGCATCCACAGGTTTCCTTTTCGAAGCCTCAAAGTTAACGTTTTAGCCACTGTCATGGTGGGATTCTTGGATGTGGTCATGAGAGGGTGGAGACGTGCGTCCTTATTCTGTATGGGTGCAATGTGTGAACACAGATATGGTTTAAAGAGCAACAATCCAATAAAGACAAACTGGACAAACTCCAGGTGTGTGTGACCGTTACCTGTCTGCCAGGTGGACTGGCCGGTGTGTGAAACGGTGTGATCGGCGTTGAGGTTGCAGAGAGGACCCTGGCGCTCCCGTTGGTCAGGCTGGTGGAGATCTTGGTAGACATGGTGGTGTTGTTGTGCGTCGCAGAAGAAGTCGGAGAGGATGAGAGGAGCGGTGAAGGAGCGGTCGCTACGACAGGAGAGGAGGAGGACGAAGGGGGAGGGAGAAGGGAGGGGGAAGGGGGGGTTTGCACGGAGGAAGACATTTTGGAAGAATGGTTGTGTCGGGAGTATGTGCGGAGGGCGGGGGCGGGGGTGGAGGTAAGTTTAGGGGGAGTCGGGACGAGGACGTGAGGAGACGGAGCGCTGGCCGTTGCTGCCGCCGCCTTTGGTCCGTGGTTTGTGGTGATGGAGGGAGCGGGGGTGAGAGGCGGGGGAGGGGAGGAGGTGGTGGGCGTCAGCGAGGGCGCGGGGGAGTCCAGGAGCATGGGGTTGGGGGTCAGCCGAGGAGGCGTGGGGGTCGGAGGGGCGGTGGAGGACTCAGGGCTCGTTCCATTGGCCTCGCCGTGATCTGATTGGCTCTGCCGAACCGGCTCCCTGTCCATCCTTCAACACTGAAGCTCGCTGAGGCGCACGGACAGACACACAGACAGACACACAAACAGACACACAAACAGAGTTAATTTGCATATTTTGCATTTCAAGTTCCAGAGAAAACAAACTCGCTGGAACATTTGTTCACAAAACATGGAAATAAGTCCTAACGTTCCTCATGAGGATCACCGGGGGAGCCTCGGCGCCCCCACAGACGAGCTGGAGGTCAAATCTAACAGTTAAGAGCCCAAAACCAACAATCTGCACAAACACGACCTCATGTTAACCTGTTCTGTACAAAGCTAGCAGCGAGACACCCCAGAGTGATGCTGAAGCAGAGTCAAAGCTTGATTTTCAAGTAACAAAAGCAGACTTGTGCATTTCTAACCACATTAGTTCCAGCACAACGTCTTGATTCACGCTCAGTCATCCAGGTAAGCAAATCCCCAAAAGCCCCAACTTTTTGGGGATTCCTGCACAACATTAAAAAGCCTCTAGTTTCTCATCAGCCCTGCTCAACAAAGATATCGAGGACTTGGTGATAAATGTTGGAGATGTGGGGGAGACGGAGCTAACCATTTCCACATCTTTTGGGACTGTAAAGTTATTCACCAGTATTGGTCTCTAATCCATGATCATTTACAAAATGTTTTTTCATTTGTTTTTCCTTCAACTTTTGAGACCATATTTTTGTGCAATGTACCCGTGGATAAACTGATTCCAACGACAGAAGACTCCTGTATATCCTTCTGGCCGCAAGTAAAAAGCCTCTTACGAGAAGATGGTTTAAGCCTGAACCACCAACGATAGAAGACTGGATACATTCTGTACAAGAGATCTATACGATGGAAAAACTTCAGAGGGATTCCTTCTACGGAATCCCTCCCTCCCTATGGTCTAAATGGACAGACTATGTTAAACATATGAGGTGTGATTTTGTATATGATGTTACAACCCTGAGTACTACGTAAACCTACCTGCCCTGCTGCCTCCTAACCCTAGTTTTTTTTCTTTTCTTTT